ATAAGTAATAAGTACTAGGGTGTTTCAAAAAAACTTTTTTTTTGTTTTTTTTCTCGGAACCAAGCTCAAAAGTTTTGTATAGATATAAAAATGAGCCTGTGAAAAAATGAGCTCTTAATTTCAAAATTAAGATGTTCCGCATCGCACTTTTCGATTTTCCATAAGAATAACATAGGAAAAATTATTTTTGTTTCTTTTTATTTTTGTAACTAAAGAACAATAGGTCGTACTTTAAAGTTCTTGACATATTTTTGTAGAGAATTGAACGCTCTACAAAAAAGGTTTCTTATGATTTTTTGATAAATTTGATCCTTCTAAAGAAATTTAAGGTCAAAGTTCAAATTATACAAAATTTTTGGGTTTTTTAAACTTATTTGGCGAGTCTGCCCGACTCATTTAAAAAAATTTGAAATATTTTTGTAAAGAATTGAACGCTGTTTTTCCGAACTACGGAAATATTTATTTCAGTGAAGTAGAAAATACACTTTAAAATATATAAAATTTATTTCGCTCAGTATAGTTATGCAATAACTATATAAAGCAATTACAACACTCATAAGATAATTAAATAATACCAGTAATTAAGTTTAGGTATGATTACTTGAAAGTAATTAAAAACAAGTTGCGCATAACTTTGAATTAATTAATATCTATGTAAGCGAATAATATAGGTATAATTAAAAAGACAATATAAATTCTTGGAATGCTTACATCAGCATCATGATCTTAAAATAAATTAACATACTACTTTATATTAATTACGCTGTATTTAAAATCTCAATGGGAAACATTTAATTTTATTTATCTACTCCCCCATTGATAGCGTTTTAGTTACGCACTGAAGTTATTATAAATTTGGAAAAAGTGAGGATAAATCCGTTAAATGTTTAACAAATAAAATTGGCTTTAAATTCTTCTTAGTGTTCGTCGTAGATAAAGTATAGTATGCCTTTTAGAAAATTCTCTAGGCACTCGTTTTTATTAAACACTCGCTCGCAAAGTTTGTGTTATACAAAAAATCTGTAAAATAATAAATAGAGGTACTTCTCTCTTGAAGCATTTCTATATTTTTCAAATTTTTGAGCACCCTGTGCAGTTATTACAATTTTTAACAAGTAGATCCGGGGACGCCCTGTATATTAGAGTTTATTTTGATGCAGTCTCCAGTTTCTCTAATATAAGTAGACACGTAAACAAATTATCATTTCAACAAAAAACTAACATATTATTAAAATGACAATTAAAATTTCTTTCTATAGAATAGAGAACATATTTGTGGTTTATTGTATTAAATATAATTAGATGTGTTCGGCCGTTCCACAAATTTTTTCAAGCCAAACGTTTCTTTTAATTGTCCTTTTCCTACCATAATTACAATATTTTTTTAGTAATTACATAGCCGTGCTTTTGTTTGTATGTATTTTTTAATCGACCCAACGTGTACAGTGTACACTGCCAAAGTATTGTGACAGACATTTGTATAATACAAGCTTAATTTGATTGACACTGAATAAAAAATAAAGTAGTAATTTACGCCTGAATGTCAATTTAATTAAGTTTGTAATTGTATGTTGGAAAATCAATTATAAAAATTAAATAATGTAAGTACCGTAGGGTGAATAAAACGGATTGCATACCATACTTTTTTTACGACGAACACAAAATTAAATAATTTTTAAAAACTAATAAACCTTACTTTTAAGTCGCTTTATTGTTTTGGAAAAAATAATTTTTGCCACATTTTTCGTTATCGATTAAGAAAATACCATCCAATTATCGAGCATCAAAATTGTTACTTTTCTCCGTTTTAGAAACGCTTGAAAACCAATTATAAAAATTGAAGTTCCCGTAATTAAAAAACGTATTTTCGTTCGAGTGCCTTTAAAAAGTGGTAAACAACTTTTTCCATTAGTATATTAAAGCAAAGCCTTTTTGTTTACCTGCTTTAGAAAAAATACGTTTTAATCTAATTAAATTATTGTTTTGCATATAAACATTTTTTCAATTCCACTAATGGTGGTATTAAATTAAAACGGTGTTTGAGTTACATACTTATTCACAGTTTGTAAACGTTTTATACCAGTAATTATTAATTTTTTGATATGTAAAAATTAATATAAATGCAAATTAATTTCCATAAAGTACAAGTGAGGGTACCAGTATGTCAAATTATTTTAAAAGAAATTCGCCATAAACATATAAACATTGTGTTTTAATACGGCAGGTGAAAAATTAATTATTTCAGATTGTAAAAATTTATAGAACCATCATAAGCATGATTAAAAGATTAATACTTTTTGTAACGAATTATTATGGTATCAAATTAAAAATTAAATAAGCACACAAATTTATATACCTATACATTTATAAAAATAAATGTTTTTATACACCGCCGTAGTGGTTCCATCTATCGCGTTTAGCTCGAAATTAGCAAAAAAATGTAAACTTACAGGTCACTGTAGAATAAATTCATGTACATAAACTATAATGTAATATATGTCAAACGTTAAACCTGACATAATGTCGTAAACTAGATCATTTCAACGTAAGTTAGAACAGAATTATGAAAGGCTTGAAAAATAGTTTGAGTAGATAATTAAATTATTTTCAAAATTTAATAAATACAATCTGACATCTGTCAAATGGTTAACCTAACTTTTAATCAATTTTTAATGTTATTATAGTCGCCTTCTCACAATTAAAAACCCGATTGGTTTAAATCACAGTGACTATTAAAATCGGCCAAACACTGATGCCTAACGACGTGAATAATGAGTTCATTATTCCCGTTGTTAGGCAGGGAGTTTATAATGTTTATCAATATTCACGAAAAAAAAACCAAAATTATACAATAGGAGTAGATGAAAGTATATACTTACAATACAATACAATTTTAATATTCTCATTTTTAAAAAAGTATACAGGGTGAGACAATTTAATCCAGGAAACGCATATTAACCAAGATAAAGGCTGTCAAAGTTGGAAAAAGAAATCGTTTTTTTCTTGTAACTTTTGAACCACTTAACCGATTTTGTTTAAATTTACCAAAGTTTACTATAAGTTACAAGAAAAAAACGATTTCTTTGTTCCAACTTTGACAGCCTTTATCTTGGTTAATATGCGTTTCCTGGATTAAATTTATAAAATTAAGTCTCTATCGAATAATATTGACGCGTTTTATCAAAATTTATAAGGAGCGAAAAAAATGGGGGGTGCCTCTACTTTTTTCCACTACTTTTTACCCCCTGTTATTTCCAAAAATAATCATATTTCTAAATTCTACGTTTAATTTGATAGAAGAAAAACCCTTGAAAAATTTTGATTGGGAGGCTTCGTTTTCGAGATAATTGGGTTTTGAACTTCGAAAACATGTTTTCAATAGAAAATGAAATTGAGATAATTAAAAGTTATGCAAATAAGTTTGATTGATCTTCTTCAACAAATGTTTAAATTGCATTCCACCAGCGCGCTGCAGCGTCCAGATACATCTGTCAACTGTCATCTGTCAACTGTCATCTGTTAACTGTCATCTGTCATTTGTCATCAAACTCCTTTATTATGCGTTTGAGATTGTTATATGTTCCTGTATTGAATCGTCTTATTTTTTGGAGCTGTATAGAAACTAAAAGTTTTTTGATTAAAACCTGAAACACCCTGTATATTTAAATATAAAATCAAATTATAATAAATTATTAAATTTTGATCAAAAATTGTCTTTCGTTTTTTCTTCATAAAAATAATATAACTTCTTTAGTTAGTAGACACAAGATTGCAAGAATTACAGTAAAACCTTTAAAATATAGAATCTTTTTATTTAAAAATTCACCAACAAAAATACAATGTTTGAAACTTCTATCAAACTGTAAAATACTCAAACAAAAAGGAATAATGTTACTTTTAAAAAAAGAACTGAAATCAATTGAGTCTCTTCTTACAAAAACAGTCATAGTTCAAATTGTTATTTGTATGTTAAGTTAATGTTTTGAGGCAGTAATAATTAATTTAGCAAGATAATGCATATAACAGAAAATAGATATTTTTATGGAAAATCCTTAGGATAAAACCGCACAAGTCTATCTTCACAAGTTTCTATATGATTGTTTTAAATAAAAATAATAATCAGGAAATTTTTGTACTAGGCCTATTTTTGTAAGAAGCTATCACTATCAAATGCCCTAGTTTAAATGAAATATATTTTGAAAAAATATAAATATTTATTTCTTTATTGTGACTTAAAAATGATTTATTTACTCTGGAAATTTTCTCAACAAATACCACTCAAGATTCGATTTAGCCGGATATTTAAGTTACTACATTTTGTAGTACTTTTAGATGAAATAATAACGAGTTATGTAAAAATAGTTATTTATGTATCAAGGCAGTAAAGTCGTATTTTTTATCACGAATGTGGAAATTATTTACAGAGGCAAAAGCCGAGGCAAATAACCACGTGAGTGATAAAAAATAACTTTAATGCAGAGGTGCTTATTAAATTTTATCCGAAATGTCATTTGATGATCAAATCAGATGTCATTTGAATGTAGTGTCTACGTATACTGTTTGTTGCGGCGGTTATTATATATTTGCCCGCCGCGGCGATTTTTAAATCTAATTAATAAAATTAACTTATTATTTTTATCAAACAACATTTTATAAAAGGGTCCAATCGACGTCCGCGACGGTGCTTTTTTTAATATTATTTGGTAGCTTCTGAGGAGCAGTAGACACATCTTAAAATGTATAATTGGTTGCATACAATACTCGTATTAAATCGGCAGTAAAGTTCTACTTTACTGCCGATTTCGGATAAAGATATTTTATGATATAATTTTTAATTACTTTTGGTTAAAAGATAAAGCAATCATTTTTGCTCACCATGTATGTTATAACACTTAAAATAAAATGTTACTTACCTTAGCTTATCTCTTTTAAATGTAATGTAATTAATGTACCTATGAGTAATAGGAAAAAAGGATTTTGGTAGTGAAAAAATACAATCGTTTTTATGATAAACTATGTAGTTTATTTGACTTTCATATACACTCACAAAATGAGAGCGGCTAAAGCCGTAGGATACAAACATTTACCTAGGGTATTATTATTAATATTCATCTCAGTTTTATAATTCGAATAGTAACCAAACATTTATGATATTTCCTTCTATTGATTCATTTATAGTGTATACAAAAACATACGAAAACAATCCTTCAATCTCGAACAAAATAGTTTGCAACAATATAAACAAATAGATTTTGTTTGTTCTATGCGGCGCAGATTATAGCAAAGCGTCACTCTCTCAAACATACGCAGTCTGTTAAAAAAAGTAAAATCATTACATCTTAAATAATAAAATAATATGTACATCACAAAAATAATTAAAATAAATTAATGAGAGTTAAAATGTAAAACTTAACCTAAATCACTGTTTGTCAAGTCTTACGAAGAAAATCATATAAATAATTTATACAAGGAGTCAACACTTAACACTAAAATTCGTTATATATTTACAAAGATGTGTGCAATATCAAAAAATATGTTCCTCTCTACTAAATACTGGCTAATTCACGTACAATACAGGCCAAATTTGGCACCACAAAAAAGGGTTGAATCCAGTAAAACAAATTCATAAATAAAACAAATATTTATAGACCAATCAAAATTGGGTTGTAGCGATATTAAAGCTAGTGTTAATATTAAACCATTGCACATAAGTAAACCCAATTTTGATTAAACAATAATAGAAAAAAAATAAAGCATGCAAAGCAGAGAAGGATACCCAAAACATCTTTGTAATTATAGAAAGCTAAAATACTGCCATATTGAAGTGATATAATATTGTAATAGGAACTTTTCTCCGGTACTAGTAACTTTTAGATTAATATAAGTATAATTATAATAATATTAATAAAAATATAATTTTTTCATCATAGTAACTTTTGAAACCTACAATATGGCAGTAGTTGTATGTGTGAGAGAAATGCAAGTAGAGTATTAGTAATTTTTATGCGCAGGTAAACGAGTATTGTCTAATCGCCTAAACATTGTTATAATATAATCCGAGGTATATACAGGGTGACGCAAAATAAACGTCATGGTTTGAAGCACATTCGTGGATTATCATCCAACAGAAAAACAATATTTGAGCTAAAATTCGTTGAAAACGCTAAAATTCGTTAAAAACGCTCGGGCAATTTTAACGCATCTGGTGCCAAATACATATACAGTATATTGAATGCATACTGTACGGTATTAAAAAAATATTTTTAAAACATTTATTTAGTGCCACCCTGTAAAAGTAGAATGAAATCGAAAACATATAAAATTTCAACAGTACTTTTTCGTTAAACCTCAGTAGCGATATGAAATATATTAGGAACCACGTTTTATATTTTGGGCCGAATAGGTTGCCCAGCAGTTTGAATTTAGTAGTGTAAATGAAAACAAGTATTACGACTCTATCAGCAGCGATAATATTGTAATAATAAATATATTATGAATAGTAATAATAATCGTGTAATACGTCCGCGGTGCGTAGTCCACGTGTCACATTCACTTAGCAATGCTATTTGCGAGTTCAAGTGACGAGTCAAGTGGTTGCTTTGTGTGGGGGTATTTTTGTCGATTTGGGGATATTGTTGGGGATTTTTGGTTTGTCGGGTTGGAGCTTGACTCGTCAGTTTTCTTCGCTCTATATATCAACAATCACACTTAGTTCCAAAGAAACTCACTATTATGCGAGGCGGGAAGTAACTCGTGAGTTGCTTCCCATTTTGAGTTATTTTGGATACGTAAACCTAGAATATATTTAAAATTTTAAATATATATCTACTACTATATATACGTACAACGCCGGAGGAAACCGGCTTTTATTTTGTTAAAACATAACTATATTATTACTTAAACACCGTATCGATTATTATTAATTAGTAGGAACCAATTTGACTGCTGGCACAAGGTTTTTATTTTTTCAATCATCATCAACATTCGAAGAGATTTTCACTTGTTTTAGTAGGGTCGGGTTAAGACAGGAGCCTAAGTACCAGCTGATATATTCAGTTACATATACATATACATATGATAAATACAGCATTTGCCTTATCAACTTTAATAATTAGTGTATTAATAATAATAGTAATAATAATAAAAGTTTATTTTTTTGTAATAATTTAATAATAATAATTAATAATGAATAAAAAAGCGGGCGCGTCCGTTGCGAGTTGTTTGAGGAACTGTCGAACGCTACCCGATAGGAACTTGTTTTACTGGCTGCCCGGCGTTGAGGACCTTGAGGTCCCCCCAGAACGCAGGGTGCCCCATGCAGTTTATCTACATCTCGTTATAGGAACATTTTATGTCGCAGTTTTTTCTTCTTTTTTTTTATGCATCATACTCAGACGCGACGCCATCAGCCGTGCCCCATCAGGCGTCGCGCAACTTTCAATAATTTTTAGTAACTATACGTTGCAATAGGAATCATCGAACCTACTCGACTATTTTTACAACATATACACAACTACACTGACACATCTACAATATAGTAACAGAACGTCAACATGATAAAAATATATAGTACAGTCAATCATCATCGTTTAATTGCTTTAGTCAAAATCGGTATTCAAGTTTGGTAATTAGTGTCCAGTCGTTAAAGGCTGGCTGACGTCATTCGGGGCTAAATACCTCCTCTTAGGCTCTGTAGGTTGACAAAAACTATTCGAGTTCGAATCCACCACCACTGGTGTGGTCTCTTGGGCGGCTCTGGCCGCCAAGAGAGTTATCTGATTGACCACATCCTCCATTTCGTGACTCAAAGGTGACTCAGATGGCGCCGGCATCACAGAACTTACCGGCCTACTCTGATGCTCGGCCCCCTCGCAATGCTTCCTCAACTCCATCAAACTCTTGAACCTCTCGCCCCGATTGCACGCCTTGCACTCGAACCCCGTCTGCACTATCCTGAACGCCCCCCTGGATTCTTGACTCGGCCCGAAGCACTGTCTCTGGTGGGTGAGTAGAGGCGACTCGCCCGGAAAGGCCAGTCGGCATTTTTTGCACACGAAGCAGACCTCTACGTCCACCTCGCGGACGCCGGGGTCGGTCGATTTCTGGAAAGAGTCCGGCAACTTTAGAGTCGTTACGCCAGGCTCTGAGTTCCCTGCGGCCACCTGCTCGAGAACTGGAGCAGGAAGTGGCAGGAATGACGGCCCGGAACCGGTGTCTAGAAGCAGTCCTCCGGCTCCCCCTGCAACAACGGAAAATGGCATTTAATTATGGCATTCTATAGAATGTATACACTATGAATCAATTGTTAGGATCTAAATTGTGTTTCAAATGGTTTTTGACATTCAAGAACGTATTTTTCACAATCTAAGAATTTTTGTTAAGCTTCAAACTTGATGTGTTCGAATACACAGAATTGAAGTTAATAGGTCAATTCTCGGTTCTCTCGTAAAATTTCTGTAAATTCGCAAATCTATAGCTTACGATGATCTGTAACTATAATGCTTATAGAATCGTAAAAGTGGCAATTCTGGAATGTTATCTATAAATGTCTAATTTAAAGTAGTATAAACGAACTACTGCAACTTCACGCCTATTTACTTACGATCATACATAACCTATATTTTTATATGTATTCTTTGGTTTATCCACAGTTTATCGGTTTTCATTTATGTACAAAATACAAAAAGTAAGAAATTTAAACTGGTTGAGGAATAAAATGAGGTAAGATAATTTTACATTTAAAAGAACATATAATATATAATGAATAAAATTGTTAGTGCGTTGAGTGAACAAGTCAATCAATGGTTAGTGGTAACTAAAAAGCAACCAAGAGAAAAAGATAAAAAACACCACTCCTCAACAGTTGAACTATATTTGGATGCAATGGATTTACATAGATTATGGCAGGAACTTAATAAATTTGAACAAGGACCAGAAAATCAAAAAAGAAAAAACATTTTGAGCTTATTAAAAACTATTTAGAAAATTATATAAAGCTGAAAGAAGAACAATTAAGCTTAATTGTTCTTCTTTCAGCTTTATATAATTTTCTAAATAGTTTTTAATAAGCTCAAAATGTTTTTTCTTTTTTGATTTTCTGGTCCTTGTTCAAATTTATTAAGTTATGAAATGAAATGAAAAAAATTAAATTTTTAAATCCAAATTTTGGTATTTGACCTATTAATTTTTGACTAATTAGAATATTTATTTATTTTGTTGTTTATTTCTTTTTTGACCGAGTAGGTTTGTGGTTTATTTTTTTAAAGAATATTATTTTATTTTATTTTCATATGCAAAATAAAAATATAATGTTTTTGTACCTATTAATACAATTATTGTTTTATTTAGTCAAAATTGAAATTATTTCTAATGTCCAAATTGATAAATATCACCATTATCATATCCACATCGACATTATTAAAAATATTCATGTTTTTAATCTTTAAAATAGCTTTACATAACCTAACAAAAACAAACTGTAAGTAGCAACGATTGGGAAACACCCGATCGTAAATATTTACGATTCTATAAGATTTTCTGTAAGCTACAGGAAGCGCAGAATTGCAAATTGTCTATAAGCTTATAGAAAGTTACAGATTTGCTTATAGATGCTTACAGATGTGCGCAGAATTGACCTATAAGTTGTGTTTCAAACGGTAGAAATTTTGTTTTTGACATTCAAGAACGTATTTTTCACGATCTAAGAATTTTTGTTAAGCTTCAAAGTTGATGTGTTCGAATACACAGAATTGAAGTTAATAGGTCAATTCTCGGTTCTCTCGTAAAATTTCTGTAAATTCGCAAATCTATAGCTTACGATGATCTGTAACTATAATGCTTATAGAATCGTAAAAGTGGCAATTCTGGAATGTTATCTATAAATGTCTAATTTAAAGTAGTATAAACGAACTACTGCAACTTCACGCCTATTTACTTACGATCATACATAACCTATATTTTTATATGTATTCTTTGGTTTATCCACAGTTTATCGGTTTTCATTTATGTACCAGCATATAATATAATACAAAAAGTAAGAAATTTAAACTGGTTGAGGAATAAAATGAGGTAAGATAATTTTACATTTAAAAGAACATATAATATATAATGAATAAAATTGTTAGTGAAGAAGTCAAAAGCAACCAAGAGAAAAAGATAAAAAACACCACTCCTCAACAGTTGAACTATATTTGGATGCAATGGATTTACATATGTAGATTATGGCAGGAACTTAATAAATTTGAACAAGGATAAAAAAAAACATTTTGAGCTTATTAAAAACTATTTAGAAAATTATATAAAGCTGAAAGAAGAACAATTAAGATTTGAAATGAAAAAAATTAAATTTTTAAATCCAAATTTTGTTATTTGACCTATTAATTTTTGACTAATTAGAATATTTATTTATTTTGTTGTTTATTTCTTTTTTTACCGAGTAGTTTTGTGGTTTATTTTTTTTAAGAATATTATGTTATTTTATTTTCATATGTAAAATAAAAATATAATGTTTTTGTACCTATTAATACAATTATTGTTTTATTTAGTCAAAATTGAAATTAACTCTAATGTAGTTGGGCTGCTTGTCCAAATTGATAAATATCACCATTAATATCCACATCGACATTATTAAAAATATTCATGTTTTTAATCTTGAAAATAGCTTTACATAACCTAACAAAAACAAACTATAAGTAGCAACGATTGGAAAACACCCGATCGTTAATATTTACGATTCTATAAGATTTTCTGTAAGCTACAGGAAACGCAGAATTGCAAATTGTCTATAAGCTTATAAAAAGTTACAGATTTTCTTATAGATGCTTATAGATGTGCGCAGAATTGACACATAAAGTTCACATATTTGAAATTAAATTTTAAAAGCAATAACCAAGAAAACCATTAAAAATGAATGTTAGAAAACTAAAAACCAAAACACTGGTCTGTCTGTAACATAACCAACAAATTAACCTTAAACCGTTTAAAATGATTATTAATCTGTACAAACAGCACAAACCCAAAGCACAAGAATTGTAAACAACAAAAAAATGGCCACCTTTCGAGTCGGTGCAGTGTTGCAGTGATTTTTAGTACCTTTAGGACCTTGTTGTGTGGATTGTGGGTCTGTCAATAAAACCATTAAGGTCAAGTCACACTACAATATGCTTTTCGCTATAGTCGAGGCCAAATATGTATGAGTGCATGTCATCAATGGGATATAAAGACGTCAGAATTACCAACTTTAAATTGTTAAGTTACTGCTGATTTGCTTTTTAAGGCGTGATTCTGATAATTTGAGTATTGTTTACAAAGAACTGTAAGAATTTCCTTCCTAAAACGTAATTTTTGTTTGTGCCAGTTGCTAATAGCTTAAGGCTGGCGCGCACCGTGCAGTATTACGTCATTTTATATTTGACGTTTTTTTTGTAATTTTGACATTTCGTCCGTAAGCATCGTTTGTTGCAGCCTATTATAAATAATTTTATACATTGTGTTTATCATATTCTACCACTGGATTGTGCAAAGTTTGCACTGCAAACAATGTTACAAGGCTTGTTGGCAACCATTGCGAAGACATTGCACCCCTTAATAATAAATTTTGGTAAATAATCATTATTCAAGTCTGACCTGGTTCGCTCTGACGACAAAGACGACTTAGTAATTTTGTACTTTTGTGTTTCTGGTAATTTAGTATTTTTTTAATATGTAAATGTAATAAACTCTGTTTGTTTCCTCTCTAAACATATTTAATCAAAATTTGTCCGTAAGAAACTCCTAATTAGTTAGTGTAAAAGATTATAACAATGATGTTACAATTCCATCTTAATAAACAGTCAACAATACACGAGCGTTAAATTGTGCCTGGGCACGTATGAACAGACCTTAACGCTGACGTCATATGCCGTTAATTTGGCCGCGACTATATCCTAAAAATAAATTTCTGAGGTGAGTAAAAATGGCGGCCTACGTATCTATAAGGTTCGCGAATAGTTTTCTAAATATGTTATTACAGGTCTGTGATGCTCATACTATATATTTACATAACAGATGGCAATACTTGTGAAAGTGTTAAAAATGTTGTCGAGTTTTTAAGAGCAAAAAGCATAGAAAACGTATAAATAGTCCAAATAAATTAAAAAAATAACTCTTTAAAAACAATTTTATTGGGCATTTAACAGTTGATCCTGAAGTCAATTTAAAATTTAAATTTGTCTTGGAAACGTTGGACCCTATCGATAAAATAAATAAGGCCCCGGTGCCTAATATAAAAGTCGTGTAATATTACATTAAAAAGTGTTAAAAAACACGTTCGAGATGCACTTATTCCCTGCTTCATCTAATTAATTCAACAATTTATTTTTATTGCCGTGTTCGATGTGTTTGATGGCTAATTAGTTCGATAATTTATGCCCGAAATATTGCAGTCAATGATCCTCTCCAAATAAATTTACGAAATGCATTGGCGTTACCAAATTTTCATTTCTTAAATAGTCCTTTTAATTGGAAATAATCTTGATGTTCGTGAAACATAAATAATAATAATAAATGGACTTTTTCGTCTCCACAAAAGCACGTTGGTTAGGTTAAAGGCTGGAAAAATTCTGATAAGGATTCCTGTTCATATTTACTGGATCAACTCTAACTGTAATAGTAATTGAACCTTCACCTCGCCAGAGTTTTTGTTTTGAGTGCGTTCCACCAACTTCAAACACCGACAGACAGCTGTTTCGACCTATATTGGGTCTCATCAGTGTCGGGCAACTTGGTGTAGTGGAACACCCAAAAAGAAAGACTACCTGAGCTTATATTCTGCCCAAGTAAACCAATATAGGCGAGATGTAACCAGGTTGGTGAAACGCACTTGAGATGAAGGTTCAATTCCTCTTGAATAATACCAGTTATGGGTCTAGAATGTTTCTTGAAGAAACTAAGAAAATTGAATATATAAATGTAATATTTCTAATTTAGAATGTCAAAGGTTTACTCTGGAGTATCAAAGACGCACTTTAAAATGACAATGCGGTTGGTACGTCACTGGTCGAGAGTGGGTAGAGCCTTAACTACATTTTAATCAGAACGAATCTTAGACACAACCGTGATACAAATTTATACAACCACGGGTCTGGTTCGGGATCCAATCGGCCACGAAGTTATTGGACTTATCTTTGAATTTGAACGTCCTCAAATCTCCAGCTGATTTCCTCTAGAGAATGTTCGGTTTAATGTATTGACAAGTGTGTT